ATTCTCTCTCTCTCTCTCTCTCCCTCTCTCTGTCCTTCTGCCTCTCCATCTCTGTCTCTCTCTGTGCCTTTGTCTCTTCATTTCTATCTCTGTCTGCCTGCCTGTGTCTGTGTGTCTGACCCTCTGTCTCTCCCTCTGTGTCCATCCATCTCCCCATCCTACCCTCCCTACGGGCCTCTCTCTCATTCACAATCAGATCAGGACGCTCAGTCAGTCAATATTCATCTTCAGGCTGAAGAGAAAACTTCCCCACCTTCTTCACCAAGAGCCAGAGGCCCCTTACTGCAGCAGTGCTCCTATCCTGCCTTCTCTGGCTACCTTGTCCTTTGGGACCTGGCACCTGGGCTGTCATGGGAACTCCACAGGGTGAGCCCACAGCTCTCCTGAACTGTGGTTTGCAACACTAATTACAGACTTCCATCTTTCCCGGCACAAACAAAACATGCCCAGGGTACCCCCATCCCCCACTTCCACCACCACACCATTAAGGCCTTTATAAAGCACTTCCGAGGCGTGGTTGCCCAGGACAGCACCCCAGGGATCTGCAGTGCCAGGCTGGATGCATCTTGAAGCAGCTCAGGGACTGAGCTGTCTTTCTCAACAGCTTTTCTTTGTACATGGAACAAGCTCCTTGACCGACAGCTCTAGGAACTGCCTCTGCAGCCCACCTCATGCCTATCCAGCCCAACAGCTGCCTCCTCATCCCACGTGGCATCTCCCCAGCCCTTCTCTCCCCCACCCCAGTCCTGGTCTCTGAGCCCAGAGGCTCCCTCAGCTGCTGTGAGCTTGTTTCCCATAACCAGCAAGGCTGGCCACAGAGACCTCCCTGTCTTCCCTTCCCGTGACATCTGCCTTCACATCCTAAACACTGTGTTTGCTTTACGATCTACTCAGTTTAAGCTAAAGTTATTTAGCAGAAAATGCAACAGGCACCACCAAGCTGACCTTCACCAGAGAAGGCTTCCGAGCTCGGCTCCACTTTTATTTTCTGAGAGACAGGTGCCAACCCCGGCTCAGCTTTTCCCTGCCAGTGCCATTGTGCAGGAGAGATGGGCTGAGGCCAGCATGGCATTGTGGTTCTTGATCCTGAAACCTGTGTAAATGTCAGGAGTTTAGTGGACACAGACAGCGGGCTGGGGTAGCCTTTGTCCACTATGTCGCTGTAAACAGTGGCAGCTTGTAGACAAACAAACTCATTTCTCACAGTGCAGTGCTGAAGCCCAGAGCCAAAACGCCAGCAGACTTGTCTGGTGAGGCAGCTTCCTCACCATCACAGGGAAGGGACAGCCAGGTCCCTAGCCTCTTCTATGGGGACAATGTCCCATTCCTGAGGTTCCACCATGACCTCTCCTGGCTTCTCATCACCTGGGACGAGGACTGTAGTGTGTGAACCTTGGGAGATAGACATTTAGTCCACAGCAGCTGGTGAAACAGGTCCTGGAGATGATGGAAACAGGGGTGACAGCTGCAGGGTCATACTGGGTGCCACTGAGTTGCCACTTAGAAGTGGTCAGGCAGTGAGCTAGACGCTGTGTGTCTCCCCAGTATGTGTGAGACCCCATGCAATAGGCGGCCATGATCCCAGCACTCAGGAGGCTAAGGCCAGAGGGTGGCTGACTTCAAGCCCAGCATGGGACACACAGAAAAAAAAAATTTCATGCTATGACTACAGAATGAAATGCAGTTCAGCTTCCACCCCCTCAAAAGTCAGGGAAATTGCCAGTCCACTTTCCCAAAAGCGTGTGCACACACCATGTTTTGCATGTGGTCAGAGTCCCAGGCTTTCAAGGGCTAAAACCTCACCTTGGGCCCCATGTGTGATAGACTATGTCACAGTAGACCCATTGTTGTCACACTGGAAGCCTCCCTCAGTGGACACCATCCCCTTCCGTGATATTGTGTCGATGGCGTGGGACAAAGAAACCAGGCAGAATCAAATGGTGTCTGTCCTGAGCCAGTGTGGTTGGCACCTTTTTCCCTGTTGGGAGCCATCCATGGGCCTCTGTGAAGGTCAAAGGTGCCCTTCAGTGGCCCGTGGCTACACCTGCCTGGACCCAAGCCAGCACGTCAACTGGGAGGGTAAATGTCATTTCTGGTGGTGACCACAGAGACCCTATCTGCGGGCAGCTGCCTGGGTACCTCTGCTCTCCCAAGGCCACATCACCATCAAGTGGCTTGTCCTTGGAACTGCATGAGTCCCGTGAACTGGACAGCACCTTCTGAAAGAAACCAGGTAAAAAGGCTCTGTCTCGCTCTATTCCTGTTCCGTCATTCTCAGAAGATGGGCTCATGCTGCATTCCTGGGATCTTGCTTGTTTTTCTGAGCTGAAACCGGCTTTTGACCACAAAGCTGACCCAAAGCTGGACGATGCTGCCCCTAAGATAAAACACAGTCACATGGCAGTGTCACCATGAGCACTGCCTGGTCTCTACCTGGCCCTGACCTCATGTCCCGCATGGCTCCAAAGACCTGAAGGGGCCTGGAGGCCACCATCTGCCTCCTCTCTGGGTTCCAGCTCCCTCAATAACCCTTTGTTTTCCCTCAGGCATCTGTTTTCCTGTGGGATGAGCTTCCGGAGCTGAGTTCAGTATCAAAAATGTCTTCCTGTGGGTGACCCACAGGAAGAGGCTAAGCTGGGATCCTCGCCTCAGGCTCTGCTCCGATGCAACAGAAAGGCAACATGGGAGACCCCTGTCCAGCCTTCCTTCAGCTGCAGCTACACTGGGCCTTGTCCACTGCTGGTAGTCAATCATGTGTAAGTTGATGGCCTTCTCTTAGGGGCTTCTCAGTCACCCCCACCTCCTTTGGGCAGTACTGTGGTTTGTTCTCGTGGCTTTGCACTTCTTAAGCAAGTGCTCTAAAACTGGCTGCCATGCTGCCAGCCCTTTATACTTTAGGTTATTTTTCAAGAAGGGTCCCTCTTTTTTTTTTTTTTGCCCTGAGACTGCCATTCTCCTACTTCTGCCTCCCATGTAGCTGAAGTGACAGGAGTGTGTCACCTTGCCCAGCTCAATTGAGATAGGGTCTCACTAACTTTTTAGACTGGGCTGGCCTTGAACTGCAATGCTCCTGAACTCCAACTCCCAAGTAGCTGGGATCGCCGGTGTGAGCCACTGCACCTGGCCTCATTTGAACCATGTGAGTCAATCTCATGTCTCTTTGGCCACACACGCTTGGCATTTATGAAAGGGGTGTTCACTTACACGTCCACTGCACAAGCCAGATTGGGAAGCTGGACACTGACAAGGTCACCCAACACAGGGTCACATCCTCTCCAGCGTTTTCTAGTCCAGCATGCATTCAGAAGCCCCCGTCACTTTCTCTACCCAGTTCTAATCGGGGAGAACCCTTCAGTCTCTTTTAATGATGCTTCTGATGTTATGGAGGCAGCAGCTCAGGAGTCTGCAGAAGGCTCCCAGGCGTGCGCACCTGTCTGGGGCCTGAATTCCACGTGGGAAGGCGTCTCTTCCCATCACGAGCGCAGCATGATCGCCTAAACATCACGTGCATTTCTTCTGTTTCTTTCCTGACAACCCATCCTCAGGGAGAAACTTCTCGCTGCCTATTTATTGACAACACAGTTGTCAGTCCCTTATGTTATTCAAAGAGTTAAAAATCCATTGCAGTCTTTTATATTCCGATGCTAAAATCAACACAGAGCTACTGAGGAAACACTAAGGGGACTCTAACTGCACCTGTGGCCAAGGGAGGAGGAGGAGGAAGCAGACCTCAGCAGCCCAACAAAGGAGAAAAAAAAAATGGTCCCTGTTGAAGCCATAGGTCATGGGCTCTGGAAAGCCCAGTGTACACTTGTGTCTTACAGCTGCCAGCAATGCTTTCACAGGAGACTCCTCTGTTTGGAACAACCAGCTCAGGTATTTTTACCTCCAGTGTCAGATCACTTTTGCAGCACTGTTATGAAAAGTCCTGCCGGGGACGGGGAGAGCAATGGCAAGTCCTCCAGTCTGGCTCCTCCATGCATGTCCTCACCCTTGGCCATTCAGTGGGGAGCCTCAGTCGACACACCGTGCTATGGTTTCAAGGCTTTCTAGAGAGTCCCATGCTTTTATTAATTTAAAAAAATGTGGAATCGATAAGACATTTCCTCATTTAATCAGTAGTGTTTATTTATGCTCAATAATTGACACGTCCCTGTGCCTGGGATTTGTTCTCACAGATGTCATACATCCCCCATGGCAAGGAGCTCACTTTAAGAGCAAGTGGCAGCTGTCTCTAATTCCTACAGCTTTCCAGAGCCCTGAAGAGGGAATGGCTTGAACAGTGGGCAAAGCTGCTCCCGGATCTGGCTCCTCTGGCTCCCTGCTTACCATCCAGGCTTGGTTCTGTAGTGTGCTGATCTGTGTTTACTTGCTAAAAGGAATGCCAAAGATTAGAAGATGCAAGGGAACGAAGGACTAAAGCCTCCTCCAGGTCACGGACAGTGTGGGGAGTGTGGCCTGACTCCCAGAGCTCCAGCCCCGCCATCTGCCAGAAGGTCTCAGGTGCAGAAGCTGTTCTTAATCTTCAGAGAGCCCTGTCTTATGGGATCTAGTGATGACACCACGCTAACCACAAATCACCATGGCCCTTGAAGGGTCCCCTGAAGCCCAAAGCCCATACACTCATGACCCCCAAGACCCCATTCTCTAGGGATCTCCCTGTGTCTGTGCCTGTGCCACATCCCAGGAGCCCCTGTCCTGGGTGGAGGGAGAGAAGCTGGGACACCCCTCCCCATCTCCAGACAAGTGTGCTCCCCCCCTTCCCGACACACGCAGAAACACGGACTTACAGACAAAGACTACAGACACACACTGTCAGGCCTGAAGCCAGATCCTCTCTGGCTCCTATGTGTTCCAACACCAGCTGTCTGTCTGGGAGCCCCTGGTCCCTCCCTTGCTGATGGACCCTCGCTGACCCCTTGCAGGCCCCATCACCATGGTCAGCATGTGCCCGCAGGGAGGCCGCCCCTTCGTCCGTCTGTCCGTCTGTCCCGCCGCACTCACATTGGCAGGCACTGCGCCAGGATCCCGCTCCGCGGGATGCAGCGCGCGGGGCTGATCTCCCGCAGGCGGAGGCAGCACTGGCTCCAGCACTCCTTGTGGACGTAGCACAAGTCCCCGTCCCGCTGTGGGACAGGCCAGAGGTGGCCCAGAGCAGAGCCCGCTCTGGCTCTGTCCCCCACCAGGCCAAAGCAGCCGCCCTCCCCCTCCCAGGGGGCTGGCCCCTCCCCCACTCCCCAGTGAAGCCTACCCTCACTCCCCCTCCCCAGCAAGCTGACCCTCACTCCCCCTCCCCAGCAAGCTGACCCTCACCTCTCTCCCACAGGGGACCCTCCGGGCCTGGGGCTCACCTTGCGCCAGGGCACGCACTGCAGGAAGATGGTCTTGGACGTGCAGAACCGCTCCAGGCTGTAGCCGGTCCGGACGCAGCACTCGCTGTGGCACTCACCGTGGTAGAGGCAGGAGTGGCCATTGGGCTGCGGAGGGCAGGCGACCTGCAGCCTGGAACCCCGCTCTGCACCCAAGCACCCCCTTCCTTCCGCTTCCCCCCACCCCGGCCCCCCGGGAGGACAAGGAGCGGCCCTCACTGGTCTCTGCCCGTGGATTCACCTTGCGCCAGGGCACGCACTGCTGGAAGATCGTCTGCGGGGTGCAGAACTTCTGCGGGTTCAGGCTGTTGGTGACGCAGCAGTTGCTATGGCACTCGGAATCTTGTTTGCAGGGCTCTCCAGTTCCCTGAAAAGTGGGGTTCTGTTTACCAGATCAAGCGAATCCCTCAGACTCAGCGCCCCAAACAGCTTCCCCAGTGCAGGAAGGCCTCCATCCTCTCTGGCTTCCTTGGGTTAGGGCCCAATTCAGACCAACAAAGAGGAAGGGAGGGCTGACGGTAGGAGGGAAAGGGGAGGAAGGGGAAGGAAGAGGGTCTGAGCCAAGTGCACAGACGGTAAACTGAGGCATGAGGACAAAGGAAGTAAACCAGCAAGCACTGGGCCGAGTCAGCACCCCCTCTGCCTAGCATTTCACAGGTGAAGAAATAGAGGCTGCAGAAGAGTAAGAAAATTGCCCAGGACTACACAGCTAACCAGCAGCTGGAAGACCTCCACAGAGGTTTCCACCCACAGAGGTTTCCACCCACAGAGGTTTCCACCCACAGAGGTTTCCACCCACAGAGGTTTCCACCCACAGAGGTTTCCATCCACAGAGGTTTCCATCCACAGAGGTTTCCATCCACAGAGGTTTCCATCCACAGAGGTTTCCACCCACAGAGGTTTCCACCCACAGAGGTTTCCACCCACAGAGGTTTCACCCACCAGAGGTTTCCACCCACAGAGGTTTCCACCCACAGAGGTTTCCACCCACAGAGGTTTCCATCCACAGAGGTTTCCATCCACAGAGGTTTCCACCCACAGAGGTTTCCACCCACAGAGGTTTCCATCCACAGAGGTTTCCATCCACAGAGGTTTCCATCCACAGAGGTTTCCACCCACAGAGGTTTCCATCCACAGAGGTTTCCATCCACAGAGGTTTCCACCCACAGAGGTTTCCATCCACAGAGGTTTGGGTTTTTTTTTGTCTTGTTTTGCCCTTTAAAAAAGTCTTATTGACTCAGAGTTAAAGCTAAGGTAGCTGCCAGAAGGACTTCTGCCCAAAGCCAGAGGAAGAGCCTGTACCATCGCAGGGGTAAAGGGAGAGCCACGGAGGGCATTAGTTCACCAGGATGTGTCTGGTTTGGGTGAGGTGTCTGGAAACATTCGCACAAAAAGGAGCCAGGAGAGACCCTGGGTGGGGGCTGGGGGCTGCAGCCTGCACTAGCATGGTCTCCATGACCTCCTGGTCGGGGGTCCACAGAGATGGGATGGTGTGTGAGTCTGGGGGCAGAGGCAGGTGTAGACACCCGTGTTCACTATTGAACAATGGACGACCTGTGCCAGGCTTATCTGGGCAGTCCAGGGACCTGCCGTCCAGGCTTCTGCCCTGGTGAGGCCTTAGCTCCCTCAGCTGAGCACAGTTTGAGCACGCACCTTGTGGGAGAGGAGCATTGACCTCTTCTTCATCGGCCCCAGGCACTAATGGGAGCAGCAGCAGCACCAGCAGCAGCGTCCACGCCACACCAGACATCACACCACAGGCCTGCCGAGGTGGCACGGAGTGTTCCTACCCTGGGCACCCAACACCGGCCTCCCTAACCATCCCACTCCCTTCTCTTGTGAATCAGGTTTTTACAAAAATTAGTAAACTTTACTTTTTAAGCTGCTGTAGGCTTACAGAGAAATCACACAGAAAGTCAAGTTCTCACCCCAGCTCTTTTCCTCTGCCCCAGTTTCCTTTTGTTACCATGTCACATCGACATGTGTGTGTTACATTTGGTGAACACAGCATCACCCAGGCTCAGGGTTCACGCAGGGCTGCGCTCTCCTGCTGGACATTCCAGGTTCAGACAGATGTACAATGATGTCCACCATTGCCCTGTCACACTGCCCTAAAGCCCTTGTCCTCCTCCCTCCAGTTCCTGACAGCCCTGTCTCCAAGGTTTGGCCTTTCCAGAATGTCTTGGAGCTGGAACCACCACCTGTAGCCTTTTCAGACTGGCTTCATTCACCTAGCAGTACGAAGCTAAGTGTCTTTCATGTCTTTTCCTGGATTGATAGCCCAATTCTTTTTCATGTTGAATGTGGACACCTGGAAACCTAGCTACTTGGGAGGCTGAGATCAGGAGGATCGAGATTCAAGGCCAGCCTGGGCAAATAGTTTGTGAGACCTCATTTCCAAAATAACCAGAGCAAAATGGGTTGAAGGTGAGACTCAAGCAGGAAAGTGCCTACTTTGCAAAACCCCAGGCCCACCAAAAAAAAAAAAAGGAAAATGGGATTTTAAGCAATCCTTTCTCCCAGAGAAGGACTGTGTCCTTAATTTAAATGAGAGCCTTGGCCATGAGCACTGAGAAGCTGCCTGCAAGTCTGACCATACAGGCCTTTCCTCTGCCTTCTCTACAGACCTCACGTCAGGGTCCCCGTTTTGGCCTCCCCGGAGCAACCAGGCAGAGACCCAGTTTTTGGTGCACACATGTACATTCTTCTCCGTCAGGGATCGGCACTTTGCACTTCCACCTTCGTTTGTATCCCCAGCTCTCCGGGGGAGCTCGCTCAACCAGACTGAGTCCTGCTAGCATTGAGTGAACTCAGGTTCACTCAATAAGTGACCCACCGTTGCCTCTCCATGAACAAAGGAGCCTGCCTTGCCCACCGGAAGTGGCCTAGGAAAGGGCCAGAACCCAGAGACAGGACCTTTTGCATGGACCTGAGAGGAAGAGGTGGTTGGAGGTCCCTCTCTTTCTCCTGCCAGGTTACAAAGCTCACAGGGAAAATCCAGTAGATTCTACAAATTGTTAGAAGTAATAAGAACTCAGAAAACTGCCAGACAAGATTAACTTAAAATTCAAAACTTTTTCTACAAAATAAAAAATAAGATTTCACTATTTCTAGAAAACGATAAATTACTTAAGATTAATAAAGATGATAGTTAATGCCCAAGTCTATGTGAAGAAGAGTGTCAAGCCCTCCTCTCCCAGGAGGTGTGTGGAGACCAGCGCAGTCACTGAACGAGCAAGGCCACTCCCCAGGAATCATGCACCCCAGCCCTGGGCAGAGGGACCCACGGTCCAGCTGCCTGAATGTGAGGTTATCAGGTGGTCCTGCAAGACAACGGAGAAAGGGTACAGGGTTTCATAAACGATTTGGGAAAAGCTGGCCACATGAAAGGCAGGCTGTGAACAGGAACAAAGCCAAGAAAAAGCTAAGGGAAGGGGCGTGAGGCTGAGAGAGTGCCGTCCCCCTCCACCCCTGCCCTGGGCTTCTCCTGGCTCCTCCCCTGAGCTCCCGGGCAACAGCCTGGTGTTTCCTCTCCTCCGTGGCCTGTTTCTTTGGGAGGATTCACTTTGGTGTGAGTCCTAACGTTAGGTGATGTGTTGGTGGTGGTCTGCAGTCTGCTGTTTCTAAGAACAGAGTTTGTTGATCGTAGCACTTTGTTAAGTGCGCTGGACTTGACCTCAGCCCCACCTGTGAAGGAGGTGAGGGGATGGTTAGGCTCAGTGCACAGAATTTATGGGTCCCTTTCTGGAAATGTCCCCCATCCCTGGCCTGCAGTGGCTGTGACCACCCAAAGCCTCCATCAATGTGACCATGTGACAGCTGCTGTGTCCTTAAGCCACTCACAGACTTGAGTTACAGGTTTAAACAAAGAATTAGAGCAGGGGACAAAAGGTATGTGTAGTTACGCAGACCTAGTCACAGGTGTGTTCCAGTGGTTGGGTGGTTGTGTTGACCACTCTCAATCCTTGTTCTTTGTGGGTTCCAGAGAAGTTGTTATCTCTGTCGTTATTCAGGATCCCTAGACATAATTATTCCTGCTCCAGGGTGCAGCCTCGTCACTATGGGTCATTGTCCTCACTTGGGGGAGGATGGTGTGTCCTTTAGGGCTCTGTGATCCTTAGGAGTAGTTTCAATCCCTTGTTATAAAAAGATGTCATTGGTCATTCCTGTCCTTCCTGGATTCCAAGGCAGCTGCAGGAGAGAATGGCTCAGCGCAAAGGACAACAGGAACAAAATGGAGATGAGAGGTGCCGTGCTTTTCTCCTGTTTTAGATAATTCATGGCCCTGAGTGAGGAGTCAGCGCTCGTCAGCAAAAGTGGTCTAAGCAGCTTGTACAGGCTCAGCAGGTTGGCAAGTTGTGGAGGACTGGCGAGGTGCAGCCTGAGAACAGCATCTTCCCTCACCAGCCTCTGATCCGTGCAGAGGGCCTACCTTCTTTAGATTCTAACAGAAGACAGCAAAAACACCCCATGCCTGCTGTCCTCAGGCAATAGAAACCGTGCACTTAAACATTCATGAGGGCAGATCACCTGCCAGGGGATCCTACGCCCACCTGGCCTGAGACGGCCCTTGCACAGTCTGTGGATCCCAGGCCAAGGAGGTATTTGTGAGCTCCGAGGTCCTGGCTCCTGATGCAATGCTAGCGGAAATGCCCCCCGCTGAGCTGAGCAGCCTGAGCCTCACGGGGGGCTGTTTGCTGGGTGGCTGTTCTGGAAGGAGCAAGCTGGACTCACTGTCCTCTCCCAATCACTCTATGTTCTAGACTGAGGCAAGAGTCTCACAGTGTGCCATGGACCTATTAAAGTGAGCAGTTCCCTGGATTTAGGGCACTCACAGTGTTGTGCAGCCTCCACCTCTACCCAAGTCCAAAGCATCCACCACTCCAAAGGGAACCCCATCCCCCAGCCAGGACAGAGCTGGGGCCCTAACCTTGATGTCCTGGGCTCAGAGCCCTGGAGGGTCAGAAGCGACCTCAGGTCATGATTCCAACACAGACAATGTCTTTCAAAGGCTGTGGAATTCTGACACCCCTGGGCCCTGCTGTGCCCAAGCCCAGGCTGCACAATTGCCATCGGAGCCCCTCTCCAGGTTCTGTCCCCCAACACTGACCTCTCCGATACCCTGCTAGTTGCCTGCTCTGACCCCACCTGGGCCACCTCTTCTCCTTCATTCCAGAATCCCACAGATGCTGGTTTCTCTTTCCAGTTTTGATTCCAGCCCCTCTTGGTACCCCAGCCTCCAGGTCTAAGGTGACCATTACTAAGGGATCCAGCAGAGGATGCAACGCCATCTGTCTCAGTCCTTAGAGTCCAGGCTGGAAGTGGCGCCCAGGGACCTTGAGGAGATCAGGGAAGCTTTTGTGGACTTAACTGCCTACCCTGACAAGGGAGGTCTCCCAAATCAATGTCCTCTGGACCTGTGGTTCTCAGACAATTTCCAGTGACAATGATGTCTTGGTTGTTTTGTCCCTTTGTTCTTCTTGGGGATCATCTGTGTTGCAAAGCAGAGGTGAACTTTTTTATTTATTTTTTAAATTTCTGATCTGAGACTGCAGGAAGGCACAAGCAAGGAATCCTCCTGGTTTTTCCCTTGAGTGTCCAGGAGGGGCAGAGTCTAGGTCACAAGATTCAAATCCCTTTCCTTACCAGGAATCTCCATCTTGTTGCCTGTGCTGGGCTGCCCTGGACTGGACTCTGGGGCCACATGAGGGTTGACCCCCCAGCCTAGGGTCAGACGCAGTGCTCAGAGCCCCAGGGAAAGAGGTGAACACACAGGTCTGAGGCTCCAAGCAGAAGCAGGAAAGTCCCTGTGCACAGGTAAGGGCTCCCTGGAGATCACACCTGCCTCTCCTATATAATCTTAGGTTGGGGAAGAGAGTAAGATGAACTGAGTGCAGAGTGCACTCAGTCTATGCCTAGACCTTTGTCCACATAAATATCAAAAGATCACCCTCCTGCAAGTGGAGGGCCTCTGGGATGACAGAATCTGCAACACAATCATCTCAGCAAAGAGTTTGCTCAACACACAAGTAGTGCATGTGGCTTCTGCAAGTTTTGGGTTCTGTAACTTCAGATTTAAGTTCATCTACAGTAAGTCACAGCTCACCAGCAGGAAAGGCATCACTGGAGTATTTCATTCAAGAGTCTGGTTCACTGGTTTTGGAAAAGAGCACAGTAGTGAGCCCTACTATAATTTGTTATCACCAGAAAAAGAAAAAGAATGGAAAAGCCAGGTGCCAGTGGCTCACGCCTGTAATCCTAGCTACTCAAGAGGTAGAGATCAGGAGGATCCCAGTTCAAAGCCAGCCCCTCCAAATAGCTCATGAGACCCTATCTCAAAAAAAACCCATCACAAAAAGGCTGGTGGAGTGGCTCAAGGTGTAGGCAAAACCCCAGTACCCCCCACCCAAAAAAAGAATAGAAATAGAATAGAATAGTGTGGCTTTAGTGACCTGTCCAGCAAGCATGAGGCCTTGCATTCAACCCCCCAGTACTGCCGAAACAAACAAGCAGACAACCCAGGGCTCTGACCACACTACAGCCTCTGCACCATCAGCTCCAGGTTGTCAGGGCTCAGGCAGTGCCATGACTTCTAATGTGTGTGTGTGTGTGTGTGTGTGTGTCTGAAACCAGACATTGAACTCAGGGCTTCACACTTGCAAAGCAGGCTCTCCACCACTTCAGCCACACCTCCAGTCCATTTTGCTCTGGTTATTTTGGAGATAGGGTCTCCAGAACTATTTTCCCTGG